TCACATCAAATGGTCCTTTTGCAGATTTCACATAAAAGGATAAGACAGGATCCTCTCTCCCAAGGTGAGGCAGAACCTCTGTCCCATGTGCTGTAGCAAAGAGGGCATGGGGAGAGATCTGGATGGAAACCCAAGGATGCCTCATGCAGAAATAGCTTCTTGAAGGCCTCTGTGCTGTCTGACTGTGAGCGTGTGAGGTGGTTGCTTTAACTGGTGCACAGGGTAGCTCCTGGTCCTTGTACCAAAACTTGGTTATCACCACTGTTACAAGTTAACATGGAAGCCACCTTCACACGCATACATGACTAAAACTGGCAAAACACAGGCTTCCACATGTGTATCTCCCTCCTTTCATTTCTGAGTTTATCATAAACAACCTGATCTGGCAAGTTGAAAACTCTTTCCTTACAAACATTTCCCCTCCCATGCACATTTTGAAATTCTCAAAGTGAGAGGTTGCAGATTCTTCTCACACAGAATTTCTCTTCCTCGATGAACTTCCCCTTTTTATTGAGAGGCAGGACTGTTTCCTTCCTCAGGACCCTGCTTGTTCTCCAGTGATAATGGCCACTTCTGTCCAGTCCCATTCCCAAGTACAGAGCCTGTACCTACAGATGGACATTTTAAAGGATGCACTCACAATGCAGTTATCAAACAAGGCACTTTGCCAGTGCCTCAGAAACAAAGCAGTAGTGTGAGGACTTGCTGCCTTTGGTGGGTTCAGCTTGAAAACCTTTAGAGGTTGTAATTTTCTGTGTCCTTGAGAAGACACCCTGTAGGCAGTTATTCGCCCAGAACATCTGACTGGCTTGCAAAAAAACCCCCCACCCCACCAGAGCTACAGCTCACAAGGAATAACAGAATTTTCGCTGCTTCCCAAAGCAACAGTTAATTGATTTTTATTAAATTCAGAAACTAATCAGGCAAATAGAGACCAGGAAGACAAAAGCTTTAAAATGGTGGGCTGAAAGTGTAAATCTATGATGCACTGCAACCACTCAGGGGAGTAGTTTAATACGATTTAGTATTAAGATGCGACTTTCTTCTTTCACCTAGTGCTTGTCTAAAGTGAGGGAAACTTGTTAAGTGGTCTCTACTTGCAATAGCAAAACAAAAGCTTTTCAGAACGACCACAGTATCTAACATCAACCTAAATCGACCAATATTCTCATTCAACTGATGTATTTTGGAGAGGTTTCACATTTTAGTTGCAGTAATAGCATCTGCTTACCTAGGATCTCTCTCCTTCTCATGTCCTGACAGCAGGTCTTCTATCTCCACAGGGGCATCAATAGCAGGTTTCTTCCAAAATGCAAGGAGATGGGCTGTCCAAAAAGGTTGACTTTGGAAATCGTCCTTCCTTCCCCTCCATATAAGGTAACCCCAAACTGAACGGCTAAGGGGCACAATATTGTTTTTATGGGGTATTTCATTTTTGATACTGCCTTCCATGGAGAACAGCATATTTGATGTAGCTTCTTCAGCTCCTCTCAGGTTGTCTTTTAGTTTGTTACTGGGCATTAGAGCATGGAGCAAGGTAGAATTACTGTGCTTCAATATACACATTTCAGGCATTTCTCCAACACCCACTTTACATGTTAAGTTTTTTTCACAGCTGGTGATTGTTTCATTTAGAAAAAATATTCACAAGATGAAAAGTTCATAAATATGGACATACTTAGCAGCAGTCTTCCAAAATGGTGTTACCGCATCTGCCAGCAGCTATGTACAAATCAAGTTGCTGTGAAAGGCCCAAAGACAATGTTTAACACCTCAGTCCTCAGATCCTACTGAAAGGATGTATTTAACTTCCTTTGTTCAACAAGCCAGTTCAAATCTGTTTTTCCGGAAAAAGTAGAACCCAGTCACAGTTTGTGAGCCTTTCAGATAAGACAGGGGCACCCAGCTGGCGTACATTTGTCAGCCCAAGCCAGCATCAGCAAGCTTTGAGTGCTGCTGATGATTCCATAAGGCATTAACTTTATAAATACATTCCTGACAAACAGGAAGAATTAGGGAGAAGGCCTGTTGCATGACACCACTACTGGAACATCAGAAGTTTGCTGCAGTGCAGCCAATCTGCATAGTGCAAGCCCTGATAGCCAAGACATTTTACATCCTCAAGCACATCTTAAAACCATTTAATTTATTAATTTCTTATTTAGGTTCAACCTCAGCAATATGAAGCTGTGGTTAACACAAAATTATTACAGGTGAATAGTAATCACATGGTTTGCTTTTTCTAGCTACGCTTAAGCTTCACAGTTCACATTTAAGTTGTAGCTGCATTTGTATGTCTCTGTTTTAAAAGTGATCTTAAGCTATGAACTCTTCTGTGAAATTGTTGTCCATCGATTTATAATTTAAAATTTTTCTAGTCAGAAGACCCGATAACCACAAAAAAGGGAGAGGCAATTCAATCTAGCATTAACTAGAGAGTCAGAATCAAAATGTCTGCTACACAGCAACATTCAATATTCACCATTTGTTTGCCTGGCATCAATGGGGGCATTAAGAATGGTAAACATGCACGCAGAGATGGTTATTAGCACAGATTTTTGTCAACTTAAAAAAGATTAAAAATTTGAAACCAACTAAAGTAATTAGATTCTCAGTGTGAGGTGAAGGCGTACACATTTTGCTGGCTTCAGAACAAACTTTGGGAGTTAATGGGAACCAAATACACCTCCTGTAACCTTTAGAAAAGGATAACTCTGCTGCCAACATTCAGCCTGAAAAAATGCTGTTATTTAGCTGGGGAAAACCCCAAAAAGTTGTAGAATAATTGGGGGCCAAGGAGGTGTGAAATCTAAAATCTGTATAAACAACCCAAGGTAGCTTACAGATTCAGAAAACAAAACAAGAAATATTAAGTGCTTTTCAAAGCAGAACATTGTTAAATTACTTGCCATGAGAAATTAACTTGTTATTCACAGAATATGATTTTTTACTATTGTCCCCTTACTTCTGCTTCTCCACCCTAATGTTCCACACAGGTGAGAGCTTGGTCACATACAGGGAAACTCAGGAACCATAGTTTAGGATTTTGCAAGTACAGATTTGCCCCATGATTGTCAAATACATCATTCCTCATGAAGGCAAGTAAGAAAGTATCAGTATTTGGGCTGTTTCCCAGCAGAGACTTTTAGCACCTTGTTCAACTCTTCTGAAATTTATAGCCACTTCCTCTATCAGGCAGTGTAGTAAACGCTAAAAAACTTGTAGACAGTTCTTCAGCAAGGCAGAGGTGCATGGGTAGGCATGGGTAGCTACAAGTACATCTCATCTTCACTGTAACTTCACCACGTTCCAAAAACCTACAGGTCAACTTGTGGCCACCATCTGATGTCAAGGACAAGCAAATACTGTGCTATTGTGAAGGACTTTTACCCCAAGTTTTTTGTTTTTTAGTTTTTTTGTTTGTTTGTTTGTTTGTTTGTTTGTTTTTTTATGGATTCTCAGCTAGGTAGACCCCCATGACCTGAGAGTCTTCTGTTCAGGGAAGCCACCTCAGCTTTTGCTGACCAACATTCCATTAAGCCCCTCCAGGAAAACTGACTCCCACAGGAACTGCTGTAGTGCGCTCCCAGCCTGGTAGATCTTCTCTTTTAGGTACCCCTACTATTTCTTTTTATTTGCAGCTGAATTTCAGATCATCTCAGGATATGGGAAATAAAATCAATTTCCAAGCTCTATCTTCCTGACTTCACTCCCTTGCATTGCTTGAGTCAGTACCTCCCTCTTGCTCCTGCTCCCTAATCTATGCACTTACCCTAGGCAGCTCAAATCCTTTTCACCATTTTGGTTCCACTCTTACTCCACATTCCCTTCCCTATTTTTCTCTTGCCTCCACCCTCCGTATCTCCCCATTTTAATATTCTCCTACTCTGCACCAGTCCTACTCAAGCACCTCATTCACCCTCCCCAATACTAGCCAACCCTACAGTCCTCTTGCTTCCACTGCTCCCAACTTCTACAGTTCTTCCAGCTACACAGCCTCCTCTCCTACAAAGGAAGTGTCTACTGGGACATGCCTAGATCACACATCTTACTTCCAAGCCCTGCCCCATGCTCCTCCTCTGCTTTTCCAAGCAGACCATCACCACTGACGATGTTCCCAATGCCGCCATGGAAATTAATCTGCTTATAGAAATAAATCCAAATTCTTTAAGTGGGAAGGCTGCCACAGGTTTGGACACTGGGATTGTTCTGGTAGCCTGACAATGCCCATTGGATCTCTCTGACACGTGTGATAGGGGTACAACTACTCTACCCTTTTCACCTGCACTGCATTGCAAAATTAGAACCATGGTTATTCCTGAAGCTCTTTTTGCTGACTGAAAGGGTCTATATCCTGTCTCTTTGGGCTTAGCGGTGGCAAATGGTGCACTTAATCTGTCTTGAGAGGTCTTCAGTCCTGTGTTTGGAATGTGCCCTACTGACTGGCAAATAGAAAGACATCCTGTTGTCTACTGTATGCCTGAAATGCACAAACTGACCTGCCACAAACGCAAAACCTGCAAAGATATTTGCTTTGATTCTGAGCAGCACTGCAAGCATACAAAGTAAGGCACCACTACTAAATAAGCTGAGAATGTTCATCATCTCTCTAACAGTAAACCACTGCCGCTTACTTTAAAACCCAATGTTTCATTCTATACACAGAATGGTTAAGAAACTCAGAATTATTTAGAGAAGTATTTATATATAAAAAAAAAATCAGAGTAGAGTTGTACAGTTTTAATGTATTGCAAAGGCTTGACTTTGGAAACAGGTTCTAATGCTACTATCGCACACAGCTACTCTTCCAAAAGACTGTGCTGAATATCTCTTATTGACATACATCAATACGCCACACTGACACTGAATTTCATATAAAGAGAGCATTTCAGATGAAAACTCTTTGTCTGGCTAATGATCCACCGCATCTGTGTAGAAGCTACTCAGAAGAATTATGAAATCCATTTAGTAAGGCCACAAAACTTTGAAAGTCCAGTATATTGAATAAAATAATTTTATTTGTATTTACTTGTGGTTTTTTTTTAAAACAAAGTTCATGGAATTTGAAATTAGACAATAAAAGGTAACTTTTAACTGAGACTTAATATGAGAGATTCTCTACCCAAAAATATGTCAAACAGGAAGATCATAAAGAACTCTAAGGTTCTGTGCTATACTGTATGATATGTAAACAGATTTTGAAAATACTTTCCCATTATATATTTTGACACAGTATGCACAAATTTAGAAAAATAAAATAAAAATGAAGTTTAAACGCCTCAAGGGATTTCTTAGAAGTAAAGCCATTGAAGAGTCATTTACAGTCTGTGGTGGCAAACTTCTATATAATCAAAATATTTCCTTTTTTCACAATGCAGAACAACCCGCTGAAGCAACTCCCTATCAAAGTGATGCCAGCAACACAGATCTGATTGTATGACTCCAGCACTTAAAAGAGCACATTGGTTATACATGGCTTTTAACCTTGGGCTACAATTATGCTACCAGAACTAAATTCAAGTCTAAATCAGTCATGTAGAGAGGTGTGTGTTGTCTGAACACTATTTAGAGTCCTTGTTCTCCAGATCTGATGAAGGTGGTGAAGGCGCTCGGAGGTTCTTGTGCTTACATTCAGGGCGGGATCAACTTTGCAAATACCAGATTCTCCAATTAATGACAAACCACAGATCCCAAAGTAGGCATGTAAAGCATCTGAAAGAAGGACAGAAAAGGAAAAAGAAAATTATGTCAGGCTGTAACAGCCAGGTGTTCCTGGATTCCAACACCCTGAATAATTACAGTCAAGGAAAATAAATAGGTGCTAAATTTTAACCTTGAGTTGAGACAGAAGAAACCAATTTCTGCCCAAAGTCACCAGCATGATCGGATAGTCTGCAATCTCTGAAATTAAAGTCTGGTTTTGTTTTATAACAATTCCTGTCCACTACTTTATTTCTTCTGAGTGCTCAGGCCAAACAGCAAAAGAATTTGAGCATCCGGAAATATTTCTGCCCACAAAGAAAATTTTTCTTCCCAAACATGAAAGACTTTTTTGCCTGATTACTTGACGAACAGCTGACTACTGAAACACCAAAATTAGTGCAAATAGCTGCCAAACAACAAGATTTAAGAGTATTACCTAGTCTCCCTGCTTCCTGAGAGAATACCCTAAGGACAAGAATTCATGAGGTGGCTTGATCAGCCATAACAGTTGACTGCCACCAAAAGAGGATGGTCTTATTCCCCTGTCCCACAGGGGAATGCTGTCTGCTCCTGCTGCCTACCTTATACCAGCACTACAGCTCACTGAACACCCTCCATGACCTAAACCAATTGAAAAAACATGGAAGAAAAATAACCCAAGCAGGAGAAAATGGACCGTTTTCTGACATTTTAGTGAATTAAACTGTTTGCCGAAGGTTTGGATATATACCAAAGCTAGAGCAAAAAGAAGAAAGCACATGCAGCTGTACTTGAGGAAGCTGGGAAGAAGAGAAGCAAATCTGCCTCCTCTGGGCAGCAGCAAGCCATTAGATTGGATTATCTGCCCATGAAATCACAGACTAAAGATGGAAAAAGCAAGTGAACTTAACGTGCCCCTTACAAATTCTCAACACTTAGTAATCTTTTGGAGGTGTCAGTAAATTTGTATCTGACTAAAATGATATTACAAGAAAGTATCTGGATAGACAGACTCTGAAAGAAGGCTTCTGCTCGTCAGCATTACAGCCCATACTAACCTTGCAGAAATTACGTCAGGCAAGGAGACCTCCACTTCAGGAATACAGTGTATTAAACCTGGTGGACAGCTGCGTTGATACCATATACAAACCTGATCACCTGTATATGACTGTTTGCTGGGCTTAACTACAAAGTTCAACAATTGTGCAAATCCAAGCTAACTTAATATTCAAGTTAGTTCTAGCTAAAACATATATATGCAGCCTGTGTATGCCTCTGTTTCAAGCTATGAAATACACCAAGTTTTTCAAGGTCAAAAAACATAGGTCCTAACATTTTGCTTTGTAAGTAACTCACAAATACAGAATGCAGCATGCAACCTTGCAACTGCTCAGGTGCTGTCTTAAAAACATAACAAAGTAAGGTGTATTTATACTTCTATGAGAGCAAATCTCACTTCAGTGTTTCACATGTAGTAATTGTGCACACTCATTTTCATCCTCTCACTCTTTCATGTTAAATCTTTTGATGTTTCTCCTGCATAACCTGTAATTCACATGTGCTTCCAATTATTTTATATTGTATGTCATTTAACGATCACAAGCCAGATACATCAGAGTCGCAGCACGATCTCCTGGGGCATGCAGCAGTACATCTAGCAATTTAAAAGCAAAGTTTATTTAAATCTAGTCATGACTTATGCACAAGTCTGAAAAAAACCCAAGTGGCTTAGGTATGTGTTCTAGCAAAATGTTGTGGATTAACCCTGATAGGCAGCTAAGCACTGCACAGCTGCTCACTCACTTGCCCCCCTCCACCCCAGGATGACAAGAGGAAAGGAAGAGCAAAAGTGAGAAAACTCGTAGGTCAAGAAAATGACAGTTTACAGGGAAAGCAAAAGCCGTAGGTGAAAGCAAAGCAAAATACGGAATTTGTTCACTACATCCCATCGGCAGGCAGGTGTTCAGTCACCTCCTGGAAAGCAGGGCTCAATCACACATAACCGTTAGTTGGGAAGAGAAACACTGTAACTCCAAACGTCCCCTCCTTCCTCCTTCTTCCCCCAGCTTTTTTTGCTAGGCACAATGCCATGGATTATGGGGTACCCCTGTGGGGTTTAGCTGTCCCAGCTGTGCCCCTTCCCAACTTCTGGCACACCCCCAGTCTGTTCGCTAGCAGGGCAGGGTGAGGAACGGAAAACGCCTTGACACTGTGTAATTACTGCTCCACAACAGCTAAACCATTAGTGTGTTACCAACACTGTTTTGGTAATGAATCCAACACACAGCACTATACAGGGTGCCAGAAAGAAAATTAACTCCATTAGACCACCTTAACGTGGTTTAATGTTTGTAACAAGTAGTATTAACACCGGGTAGCATATCTAACTGCTTAACATGAAAGATTTGGGACAGAAATATCTATCAGTCATTTGTAAACAAAGAATAGAACAAATACAGTAGATGCTTAGTTCTGTTCTGAACTATGAATCTCCCTACTAAGCCAATGTCTGTGCCTGCTTTATAAAACAGTAATGCTACTACTACTACAATGATACTTGGAAGATTTCTCAGATAAAAGCCTTTCCTATATTTGACAACCTGTAGACCACTATAAACAAAACAACAGTCATGTCCTGATTCACTTTGCTATGCTCATGTTTCCAGAAGATTACTAGCATTTAAGAGTCTTTCGACTTTTAGATTTATTTTCAAAGGTAAGAAAGTTTTCTAAGCTCACTGCTCAGTAAGCAGACTCGTCCAAACACTATTTTAAACCAAGAAAAAGTGTTAAATTATGCTACGGGCCTCCAGAACCAACAATGTTTTGCTGTCTGTTAGCATGGGAACATCAGGACTAAAAAATAATATCTCCCTGAATCAGCAGTTGTGAAAAGTTACTTGCAACTTTGGAAGTCCATGTAATACAAAGATTACCACATGCAGTTGACTGTTTTCTGCAATTTCTTCTGGTCTTCTTCCTAAAAACGTTATTGCACAGCAAAGACAGGTTCACTACCTGAATTTAAACAGAGCTTTTATAAAGTAGGAGCTACAGCAGTTCAAATTCTGAATCTATCTTAGAAAGCACCTTTGAAAAAATGGCATATTCTTACTTTGCAAACTTTCCCTGGAATATTCTGTCACATCTGAGTTTTGCAACATAATCAAATTGAGGCCACTGGTATCAGCTTTACAAATGCTAAAAGCTTCAAAGGGGATGAGTAATTTCTGTCTGTCTTCAGCCTCAACAGAACTATTAACTCATTTGCAAGAAGACCCATACCATTCTCGTCACCTCCACATTTTGCATTTACACTGAAGTCAAGATACACAGTATTTCCTCCAAGTGATACTAACTGATCTATATAACGCAGAGCAAATACCACTAAGGTCCTCAGGAATCCTAAGCTGGTTTTCAGGGGAGCCGGAGGGGCAGCAAATCTATTGCAAGCACTGCGTTTTCAGTGTGGGTCCACCTTGAAAAATTCTCAACTGCTGTTCAAAATGAAATGATGAAAGGATGAAATATCAGGGCACAGATTCTGAACTGATTCCTTTATTATGACTAAATTTTTATCTTATTTGGTCAGTTTACGGACCATTTATATTCCCTGAACAAAATGCCATTGAGCAACACTACCAGCAGAAGGTTTGTTTTCACAAATTTGCAATACCTTTGTTGAATTCTAGCATCTTTTAAAATCATTTCAGATTAAAAGATTTTAGCATCTTTTTGAGTTTTTCACTACTTCAAATAAGCCACTTCCAAAAGGACAATAATTAACTTTCACATATACTACATATAATTGCTATGTGTAACTACAATCTCTAAATCATAATATCTAACTATGTAGACACTGACTTTTTTTACATACATCAATGACTTTGGAATAAGATTAAAGGATTCCTTTATTAAGGAAACAAATGCTTTGAAATATTTTACTTGGATGATTTACAAAAATACCCACTGCACAATATTCCCTTTAACTAGAACAGTTAAAAACATACAGAAAGCTTTGTCCAGCTCTACATAGACAGTGATACTCTTTTAGCAATAGTCTAAACAACAAAAGCTCACGTGCTCTGTGGCAGGGAAAAACTGTACCTCCCTCTTGCTACTTAAATAATGAAAATCTCATTATATTTTAAGTTGGGGGGGGGGTTCCCTTTTTTGAAGGAGACTAAGGAGAAAACTGCCTTTACACCTCTCAGATGTCTGACTGCTGGAATGTTTCTCTAGCGTAGAACACACTCAGCATAATTTTGAAAAGTAAATTTACCTGGATGGCTATCTGGCCACTTAGCAAATCCACCAACAAGGCGATCTTGAGTTGACAGGATGTAATTTCGGTTTTTCTCAAAATTTGTATATTGGAATATGTTCAAAAGCTGAAAAGAAATTAGACTGTTACAGTAATATACTAAGTCTTAGTATATTTTTCATACTAAAATATAGTGCCTATTGATGAGATAAGCAGTGATAGCAGAGATAGCACTAATCTGGTAAAGCTCCATATCCTGCATTTTTGCAAAATGAAAGACCTTTATAGTGGTCTGTGCATATTCGTGCACTCATGCCAAATATGTAACTCTTTCAAGCAAAGAAAAGATGTGACGCTTAAAGAAATCAGAACAAGTCAGTAACTATCCTATAGCTGTTCTGTACACTACCTTCAATGTTGCTCCCACCCAAAAGGAATAGCAAGTATCTACAGGTTTGTTGGGTCGTCCATGGTAGCCATTCTGTTGTCTCATTATACACCACCTTCTTATTCTGTTCAGTTCTTTTTCTGAAAAAACTTCCTCCAGTTTACCCATCAAACACAGCGATGCAATACCACAAAACGTAGAGCCACCTGTGAACAGAGAGTTGGTTTTGCAATGTTTTGATACTCAGATTTTCACTGAAGCCTCTATGATCTCAGTCAGAACTTCAACTAGCGCAGTAACAATTAAATCAATGGATTTTTAAAAGTATGAAAGTGTTAATTTTAAGTCTAAAATACAAATAAATAAAACCACTTTAGTTCAGCACATATGTCAAAGAGGAAAAAAAAACCTCAAGCCAACTCTTGCACAAATAAACCTGAATTCATTTTCTTAAAAGCAGGATTGTCTCTCAATGGTGCGCAATTTACATTATACAGCAGTCCAGAAATAAGTAAATTGCAAGGCAACAGAAAACATGTCTTCATACGTAATTTAAAAAAGAAAGCTATTGGGATGCCAGCAATAAGACTGAAGCAGAGATTCCAAAGGCAGACTCAGACACTGTATCCCTCAGAGGATACAAACAGACAGAAGTGTCTGATGAGCAGAAAGCCAAAAAAACTAAGGAAAAAAAAAAAAGGCATGGTTAATACTATTAAAAGACTGCTGGACTTTCATGGTTGTAATGAACACAAATTATGCTTGTAAGGAATTTTCTGTTGTCAAGGAAACCGCATGGTTAAAATTGGAATGAGAAGAGAAACTCCTGTTCTTCGGCTGTTTATCAAGGCCATCACTCTGTAAAGCCCATCAAAACTTATTCTGAGTCTATTACCTGATATGATAAAATTACAGCCTGGGAAAGACCATCAGCAAGCTGTTGATACAAGACTTGGGGCCTAAAGTTCCTTACACTATTTTGGTCCTAGAAGACCCCAAGAACTCTAAGGTTATTTTCATCCAAATGCTGAAATGCAGCAGGAGAAGAATGCTGAAGTAATGCTATCTGTTATCACCAACATTTTACAGTAACTTAGTTAAATAGTTTTTTTAATACATAGCAGTATAATTTAAGTTTTTCAACTTTATCCATCCTGCAGAAAGAAAACAGATGGAATCCTACCAAAGCTCAATACTAAGGATAAAGCTAGCAAACATTTGATAGATTTAGTATCAGTCACATAAAAGTCAATAGTTTATCTGCCAAAGGGAGGCCACTGCTTCATGGCATAGAAACATTTTGCTTAAAATATCAGTCTCTTGGGAATTCCTGTCTTCACAACTACCAACTGTTTACAAAAATTAACTGCTGCTTCAAGATTTGAGCCCCCAATGGATGCTGTAACTTATGAGAGGAAACACTTCTAGGTTTTACTAATAGCTGCTGAAATTGGAGACTACCAGCTGCATTGCACAAAATCTCTTGCAGATAAATCCACAGAGTAGCAATGGTACATTTGGAACAAGTTTGCTCTGTCAGCAAGAGATGAGAACTATGGCCAACACCTTTCAACAAAACATTCATGAGGTAAGATTAATGGAGTGGATATATTAAGAGCACATCTGGTCTGATACTAAGTTGGAACTAAGGGAAGAAGACATGACATTTTGAGGCATGTTTTGGATTTGCTCCTCCTCAGCCCACTTCCTTAAAATCAGAAAAGAAGGAAAGGCATGACATACCCTGCACCTCTTACAGCATTTTCAATCCCAGTCTTAAAAATAGATGTAGAGCATTTTAATATGCTTACCATGAGATTCCAGTCCAGCTCCCTGTGCCAGGCCATTATCGTAAGACTGAAGAAAAAATCCCACAGACCAGTTACTTTAGAGGCATATCACTTGGACAGACATTGCAATTTCTCAGTTTACTAGCAAAATTATCATCAGACCATAACCACCATTTAACCTGATTAAATTCTGAACCTATGTCTTGAAAAGCTCTTGGCACAAAACAGTTAACAAATCAGACTTGTTTCAATGCAGGCAGCTTTTATGACTTTCATGGAATTAATTTTAGTTTGTGACATATGTTTAAAGTCTGAAAATGGGTAAACATGTCATTGCCAAAAAGGGAAAGCATATGATGCAGATAACAATTAAAGAAAAAAAAAAAAACCAAAATTGTTTTGTCTTTATGAAAAGAGCAAATGGATATGTAATTCCAAACAACATTAAATGGATAAATTAAATCTGACTCTATGACATACAAAAAGGCAAAATGCAAGGTACTACTGTGTGTACTATACTCAAGTACAAGAAATGCTTTAGTAAGGAGCAAGAACATCAGGCTTTAAAAAAATGAAGACAGGGGAGAGAAGAAACCAGAAGTGACAACATAATAAAGCATACCATTGGACTAAACTTAACCTGCCCTATAAAATATTACTATTAAATAATACCTTAACAATGCTGAAAAATCACTTTATTAAGTGAAAGAAAAAGGAGAAACTTGAGTCTGATGAACAAAGTACCAAGACAAGTCTGTTATGAGCCATCTAGGAGCAGATGATACCGCCTATATAGGAATAACAATCTTTCTTCCCTAAAAATTATTTAGAATCATAGAATCATTATGGTTGGAAGAGAACTCAAAGATCATCAAGTCCAACCGTATACCTGATGCCACCATGCCCACTAAACCATGTCTTGAAGCGCCACATCTAAACGTTTTTTGAACACCTCCAGGGATAGTGACTCCAGCACCTCCCTGGGGAGCCCGTTGCAATGCTTAATGACTCTTACAGTGAAGAAGTTCTTTCTAATGTCCAGCCTGAACCTCCCCTGGCACAACTTGAGACCATTTCCTCTCGTCCTATCGCTAGTTACTGGGGAGAAGAGACCAACCCCCGCCTCACTACAACCTCCTTTCAGGTAGTTGTAGAGGGTGATAAGGTCTCCCCTCAGCCTCCTCTTCTCCAGACTAAACAACCCCAGCTCCCTCAGCTGCTCCTCATAAGGCTTTTTCTCCAGGCCCTTCACCAGCTTTGTTGCTCTTAAATCATTAAATCATTTCACATGCAATAACAGCAAGTTATTCCTAAAATGGAAAATGTTTATTTTACAAGAATTCATAGAATACTTAACAAATTATCACCGGGCAAATACCAAACTTTTTAGTAGGAACAAAAATGGAGTTTAATTTTTGAAGTTAAATTACACTGGCCCTACATCTTCTATATTGACTGCTCAATTAATGATTGGTTCAATATCTGATCAGACAGAAAGCAACTGTAACTGCCCCCCCTCCCCCCAGGTGCTGACTATTAATTTCTCATGTTTTCTCCAAAACATTTAACAGTGGCTAGCAGATACAGGACACGTGACAGACCACTAATGACTCCTAACCAACTCCTAACTCCATAGTCCTAACCAAAGAATGGCTACAGGACCTAGCATGTCTTTAGGACTGACTTAAGGATTATTTTGTATATCTGTTTTTAAAGCTGACATTGAGAAGAAAAAATGAAACTGAAACAGAAGCAGACACAGAAGCTACATTAAAACTATATTCCTTAGTTTTTGAGTTGTTGCTGCAAGTTGAAGCAACTAAAAAGACTAACATCTGATACATGCACTTCAAGCTGCAGCTTGACCTTCTAAAGTATGAACCAGTCAATTTTAAGTAATCCCTATAAACATCTGAATGTTAAAACACACAGTGTAAAACCCTTCGCACTGCCTTTTGAGAATGCAATGCAAATGGGCTACCACACTCCACAGACCCATTAAATTGCTAAGCAAAGGCAAGATGATTAGCAAACCTATGCTGGCAAAGTTAATTAACTCCACAAACATTAATGGTAAGAGGACGTGGTTTGCTTTATGTATGACAAAGTAATTAGCTCCGGAGAAAGGCTGTTAAGTGTGCATCCCAGACAGTGTACTATGTTGGGCTATACAATTAGCTTGAAATTTTAAGAGACAATAGCTGACCTTTGGCTGACTGGTGCCTATTTATTTAGAGAGAGCAGCTGCTCTTTGGGGACTTGTGCATATTAAAAAACTAGGGAAATATTTTTGTTTCTTTGTCCTTTCGAAAAGACCCAGGAAATTATATGCAAAAGAGGCTCTAGGTTACTGCAACAAGAAAACTGCATAATTAAATACTATCCTCAGGAAATGTGTAAATCCAGTTGAGTACAATCTTTGCTTCACAGTCTAAAAGTTTCACAACTTGCTTAATTATATCAACAGACTCATACCTGCATTTCAAGAGGTATATATAAGAAGAAGTAGATGCTATACTTAAAGCTTCTTGCAATATCTCTATTTAAAAAACAAATTCGTGGTAAACCAAGCAATGTTGCAAAAAGCAGTATTTTAGAGTCTGTGGAAGTCATCCAAAATCTCAGCACCTTAGTGTCTGCTGTTTTTTTGATTAGTGATGTATCTGACTTTTGAATGTGAAAGCCAAAAATCAACCTATGCTGATAAGAATTGTGTGATTGGAATCTATTTTACTGGCAATAAAACTGATCCAGAATTATTTTTGTGATCAGTATTT